CGAGAAAATATGTTGACCTTGTTTTTTGTAGGGCGTGACCAATAGCTCTTGGGTCCTCTCGCGTGCATGTAAACCTTTGTCCTGAACACTTGGACAAACCATAAGTCAAATGTGAATTTCTCTAGAGTTGGGGAGGCAATTGCGCACACTCCGATGGTCAAGTTAGCCTTTGTAAGGATAAGTATGAGTGTGATGTGTTTAAGACATGAGCTACTTAAGTAAAAGAGGTTCAGATTTGGAGATTATAGAGCGTAAAGAGAAATTGCAAAAGTTATATATTGAGAGCAGAAACTTGCATTACCTTCAAATGATGTGGTTTCATCCTGATGGTCGAGCGCCTTGTCATAGGTGTCATTTTGTTAATCATAAGTTCAGGTACATTTAATGTTATGATCGTTTGCAGCCCTAGGCTTGACACATAGGGACTAAATTGACATATTGACTTAGTAAATTGGTTGCTACAGTGTATTGTCCTATCAATCATTCAACATTAAAAAATCTTGTTCGGAAGATTGTTTATAGTGCCTCTACCTGCCTTGCCTCATCCATGAGGGTTTGGCCCTTTGTATGGAGTCAGCCTTTGTACATGAATTCGGCCTCTTCATGGAGGTTCAACTAAAATTGCCATATGGGCAGAATGATCTGGAGTGCTTGCCTGATCGCTTGCTGTGTGATTGTCAAGTGGCTAAGCTTGGATCCTCGTTGGAAGAGACGTAAAAGAATATAATATCGAAAAACTAAAAAGAGATATGCGTTAAGGTTGAGATGAAACAAATAAATGATATATAAGACTTTCAACTGCTTCTATTAATAAGATCGACATTTTAAAGTGAAATATCATATAAAAGCCTATTAAACTAAAATATAGTTCAATATGATTTTAGATTACATTAAATTCAAACGAGCAATTTGGTATGTCTAAAGCTCAAATGAACATCGAATTCAAAGTCAAACAAGACACTATCTTGTGAAAGCATGTAATGAAACAAGTAAACAAAAGGGTATTATATTCAAACCACGATATTTATTTGTTACATCACATTTTAATTGTACTTAAGGTCCTAAACCTTTGTTCATTATAATAATTATGTCCCTAACTTACTTTTTTTTTTTTTGGCAAATTCTTATTGTCAACTTTCTATTAATTAGCACATGTGATGATTGATCTTGTCAAAGTATTACGTTTGCATGCTTTGAAATGAAAGAAAAATAAGTTGTCATACTTTTACATTTATTGGATGAAAATATTATCAAAGACAAGATGTATTAATTAATAAAATGTTGAAGATAAGAATGAGTAGGAAAAAAAACTAGAGAAATAAGAATTTGATGACTTTAAGTGCAATTACAGTGTGGGTGCAACTACTAAAAATTGTGATCATAATATAATTACCCTAAACAAAATATAAGGAATTAGACTGCTAGTTTTAAGAAAGTTGGCATTTTAAGATGGAGAGTTAATTTGGATCGTATCGAACTCTCCTGTAGCAGAATAATTTAGGTGTAATCACATTTTAAATGATTTTATGCCCACATAATTTAGGGCTTGTTCGGTAGCGATTATGAAAATTGATTTTTTAACCGTTAGTAAAAAAAGTGAGTCCCACCTATGATTGAAGAAGTAAAAAAATGACGGCTGGAATAGTGAAATAGCGATCAAAAAATCAATTTTTTGGGTTGAAAAATTGCTACTAAACGGGGGCTTAATCCTTAGTAATCCATATCTAATTCCGTATTATGTTGCATGTATTTTCCAGAATAATTATAATTTATTTTTTGGTTCTTAAAGAGTAGATAAAATTAATTTTTAGGTGTCAAGAGTAGAACCATAATATTCTATTATTCTTGTTATAGAATCAGCAAAATTGTTGGAATTAGTTTGTTATTTTGGATAGTGCACCTTTGTTAAATATGGAGTTAGAGTCAACAATTTATCTCTCAAATTGCTTTGTAGATTCGCGTCATGTAAAAATTTAACCTTTAACCTTAAATGTAATTTAAACGGTCGCAAATTCACAAGTTATATCTTTTCCAATTTCCTTTTTTTTTTGCTTTATCGACGTTGGATTCCTATTCTCGTGAATAAACAATACAACATAGGCAAAATAATATCATATCCAAGGAAAAAAAATATTAAAAATTCCCACAAATACATACGTATATACATAAATACATATATAAAGAAAGTGGGATTCCTTTTCCTTGTTTCTATTCGTAAGTCGGATATAGCATTTAAAACAGTCTATGTTCATTTTCCCTGCCATATAGTGTCTCTGTGTATATATATCTGTGTCTGCATCCACTGAGGAAAGAAGAGAATATCAAAATTTACACACAAACACAGTAAGATATATATAACATATATACAGAGGGGGAGGGAGAGGGGGAGAGAGAGAGAGAGAGATGGAATGGAAGAAATGTTATTTAGATGTTATACTCGTGCCAATGGGGTTCTTAATATGCGTGGGGTATCATCTATGGCTATGGCATAAGGTTCGAACACAGCCATTCTCAACCATCATTGGAACTAATGCCAGTGGTCGTCGGTTTTGGGTTTCTGCTATGATGAAGGTAACATATGTGTAACTCTGTGTGTGTATGTGTGTAATATTTCACAAAAAACTTCATTTTTTATTCCCTTTTTGGAGAATTCTTTTCACTTATTTTGATGGGTTTCTGCCTTGATAAAGTAATATTTAAAGAGTTCATTTTGGAGATTTTTTTCATTAATTATAGTTTTGTTGCATGCATTTGATTTCACTATTATTTGGTTTAAACTTCAAAGAACAATTTTGTTTTGAAGAAATAGAAAATTAAAGTAGAACGGTAGCACAAACTTCTTTCACCTTCTTGCTCTTAATTTTGTCTTATTGTAATAATCCTTTTAATTTGTAAATATTTAGAAGATTTCCCCTCACAATATTTTTGATAATTTTAAATTTTCTACTTAATTCTTAATTCATTTCTTTCCAAGGCTAGCTAGATAAATCCTTTAGATTTTGAAAAGAAAGTTCTTGATTCATTTCTGGCCAAAGCTAGATAAATCCTTTAGTTATTAAAAAGAAAAGGGGAATGACAAATATCTAAGTCACTATTCTTTAAAATAAAAATAAAAAATGTTTTTTACATATTGATTTGTAAAATTCATGACTTCCGTTTAATGAATAAACGAGATGGACCCAAAGTGCACTTTGAGTAAGCAACATTAGACATTTCAATTGACCAAATTTTAACTTCTTGTTCATCTTTAATATTATCTATTGTTGTATGCATAAAAAAATCGCACAAATCCAAATCTTTCTCCAGTTATCCTAATTGCCTTATTCAAGTTTTACAAGGGAAAAATATCAAATTAATTTTTCTGAAATTGCACAAAGTATGCTGGTTTACACTGCAAATTCCATTTTAGTTAAAGGTGGTAGGTAGGCATCCACCAAAAAATAAATATGTGGCTGTTATTCTGAATCATATAGAGGAAAAATCAGTAGACAAATACTTAAAGTGCTTATGTGTGTGTATACAATTACTTAATGCATCTTTTTCTCAAATATGGATGCTTGATAGATGCATACAGTGAAAATATATGCAATATTTGGAGAAAAATTTGCCAAAATACAGTGAAAAGCCTACCACATTATAAGTTTGCCTCTTCGTTTATGCTCGTCTAAAAGTTTAAAATACGAGAGAAAGGATAACATTTTTTTACTTAAATTTTGTGGTCAACACACATAAAAAAGTGATAACGAGATTTGAACTCAAAACTTCTTATGGTGCAGGACAATGATAAGAAAAACGTTTTGGCTGTTCAGACATTGCGAAACACGATCATGGGTGCAACTCTCATGGCCACCACATCGATCCTTCTCTGCTCGGGATTAGCAGCTGTCATAAGTAGTACTTACAGCATTAAGAAGCCACTCAATGACGCCGTTTATGGAGGCCACGGAGAATTCATGGTAGCGCTAAAATACGTTACTCTCCTCTTCATTTTCCTCTTCTCGTTCCTATGTCACTCCCTCTCGATCAGGTTCATCGGCCAGGTGAATTTCCTCATCAATTGCCCTCAAGAAAACTCGTCCATCGTCACTCCAGGATATGTGTCGGGGCTTCTTGAAAAAGGATTTTTGCTCAACACGATTGGAAATAGATTGTTCTATGCAGCACTCCCTCTTGTGCTGTGGATTTTTGGTCCTGTCTTGGTTTTCTTGTGTTTTATCACATTGGTTCCTATCCTTTACAACCTTGACTTTGTTTTTGCTCGTGAAAAATTAAGTAAGGGATCTGAGAATGCAAATGATAATGGCTTTACATCAGTGTAAAAGCTAATAATCTTTGTCATATTCACATCAAGATTAAATGTCAATTAAGTGCTTATATGTTTTGTCATCTTTCACGTACTTTTTTTTATTTATTTTTTCTCTTTTTCTTTTTTTTGAAAACAAATAGGGTCAAATAATCAAATTACGCAAACTCATGAGTAACTTTATATGAAAACCACTAATACCATTATTTAATGAAGTTACAATATACTATGATAAAATATAGATGCACCATGATCATAAATTGAAATCCGAATGGGTATTCTAAACTATCTGAAGAGCGTCACACTCTACCACCTCAATTCAATATCCACATTCTTTTTTTAAGATGACACCATATACAAATATACAAATTCGGAAACCTTTCTGATTTGAGAGGACAAAAGTTGGTGGATGATTAGAGAAATATTCATCCAACTTCTTATAGTGGAAACAGGAAAGTTATGCAAATGGAACAACTTGTGAGAAATTATCAGTGGAGTTAGCTAGGTGGAAAATATTTGTGGACTGGTAGATTAATCAATTTATAATTTTAATTTTTAGGGATTCTCCCTATTTTTGTAGCTAGATATGAAGTGAGACAATATTGCGTTTTTGTTTGTAAATTACAAAGTAAATATAGGTTAAAATAACTATAGAAGAACAAATATTCTACTTGTACTGAAAATTTGTATAGATTGAATAACATACATTCATCTGTCAAGCTACCTGTAAATAAAATCTATATAGATAGCAAAGTTCATGAAATAATTTATGATGATCACGTAATTGAACTATTGTGGAAATTTTAGAAAACACCAAGAAACTATCTTGAAAATTGCAGAACATTGTTATGTATTTTAGATATTTTTTAACCTCATTTTTTGTGATACTATATTTTGCAACAGTGAATTTTTTAAATATATGTGTTTAAAATAGGAAAAATTTTGAATTTATTTGTAAAATTATTTCATCGATAAAATATGTGGTTGAAAATGAATCTAAAAATAAATAAATTTTTAGATGGAACATAAACGTGGACTTAATATCCCCTCAACTAAGAATAGCATTGGAGAAATCAAATTGATTTTGAAAAGTATTAAAAGTAAAACATAAAAGTGGTCACGATCTTCATAAGCTGGAGCACATCAAGACGCAAAAAGTCTGTTTGCAAGAGGTCACATATTTTTCCCCCTTTTTCTATGAAGATACTCTTTAGTGAAGTTGATTCAGATAGACAATTGAAATTATAGTTTAAAATGTTCCTTTTATTTCGGTAAATAAAAATATTTTAATTTTTCTTTTGTGAGGGAAAAATACAACAGTTGACCAAGCATTGATTTAATAGATATTTGACTAATTTTTATTATTGAAAGTGATTGTGCAACTATAATGAAAAACTATGAAGTAATTACTCCTTTTAAAGGTTCAAGATCAATTTGTGGTTCTACTATAATGAAAATTTATGGATTAATTTGCTCATGTTTAAAGATATAGGACCAACTTGCTACTAGAACTGTAGGTTGCAAACAAATAAAGTGCAATTTTCCCTTGTTTATTCTATTAATCATATTATAAAATTTTAATGTACAGTGAGACAATAGTAAAGAATAAGAGTATTGCTATACGTACATGGTATACCAGGGTTGACACTCCGATATACACTCTCCTCACATGAGGGGGGGTCTCACGATTTTTTTATTGGACGTGGGCCCCCTCCCTCATGTGAGGGGAGTGTACACCGGAGTGTGAACTCCTGTATATAAATAGCATTTTTCAAAAAAGAATAATGAATTACAACATTCATCGTAGTTAACAATGCAAATGCTAGCAGATATCTAAAATATATTATATATCACATTAAGTGAGAATATTTTTGATCGATTTAACCTTACTACAATTCAATTATTTCAATAATAACTTACTTTTCGTTTTTCAATGTGTAATAAATACTACAAAATCTTTGTCATGTATGAATTTCGTATTATTAATTCTCAATTAATTAACATTCACATTAATCTAGATTTAATAAATTTTGACTTGATAAATCTTAATATACATGAATCTAAAGTTATTATAAATAATTTATTTCCATTCATGTATCCAGGAATGTATGTTTAAATTCATGTATTAACAATTAATTCTTATGTACCAACTGTAATATAAAAAATGTTGCTCATTTGTAGTATTTCATTATCACAAAAAATTGAATCATAGAATTTGAGTTTTGATAGTATAATTTCCTTATTTTAAATTTCTATCATAAGTTCTATTTTTTTTAATTCGTTTGAGACTTATCAAATCTTCTGAATAAATTGGTATCAAATATTACTTTTATAGAAATTATAAATTATTTTAGAAAAACATGCAATGTTCGTTCGACTTTGACTAATAATAAAAAAAAAGTTGAATCCCTTAAATATTAGTTTAATTTATGTTTAATTTTTGTAAATGTAGTTTAGCCTTTTCCCCTCCCTTCTTCTAGGGTTTTATAATTTCCCAATACTTCGTTACATCGTTCTATATATTTCAATTTACACTAAATTTGATTTCTATTAATCGGTCATAGACTTGTATTGTTATATACATCTTAATTTTTCTCCCACTCAATACTTTTTGCACGATTCTCATTCCAAGAAGTCAACTGAAAAGACCGTGGAGAAATAAGGATTAAACGCGTTAGAATATTTTATATACACATCTTCTAATGATTTGCCTTCATTTTCTTTGAATCCTAATTCCTCTAATTTTTATTTACAGCATATTCGCCAAAGACGTGTTTCTAGTTCTAGTTTGAAATATTTAGTGAGGGCAGAAATCATATGATCAATAAACCATCCTAAGCGTTGCATTCATTGTGTAAGCCAAGTGATGTTTCTCAATTGCTACAAAAATTGTAGGTCTAAAACCATTTTGTCAAAAAAATTGAAGAGGAAAACAATGCTTAATTTTCCCTAGAAATGGTGCACTTAAACCAGTATTCTGTAGTGGACAGATGAGTAGTCAGAAAATGAGCATATCTTAATGTTTTGTACCATTTGTTGGCAGTTATTGGTTAAATGGCCATACGTTGAAAATATGAAACACAATTAGAGTCATTACAATCCGACACTCTAGAATTAGAGTTCTTGGTAACCCATATTTTTAACTAGATGACTTCACTAAACCAACCTTCTGGTGAAAGTCGCCCTCCACAAGTCACCTCGTCTGCAGTGAGGATCTTGAGTAGAACAATGCTTGCTATGATACCAATTGTTACAACTACACAAGGCACGACTCACTCTTAAAACTAGCTTGCTAGGAAAAAGTGTCCAAGTGGTTAAATTCCACGATTAAGCCTCCATTTAGCAAATTGATAAATAGTTGCTGAATTGGAATAGTCAAGAGAAATAGTAGTGAGTCCTGCAAAATTTATGAATAATAAGGAGTAGTAATAATGAATGTGTGGTTGAAATTAACTTTTGAATTTAACCAAATTTAAAAATCATTTATAATTTTTTTTTTTTTTGCCAAACAGAGTCTAAGACTTAAGTTAGGCAGTATATCACATTGATTAAAGATGAAACAAATAAATAACATATAAGAGCTTGGTCCGTCTAAACCTCAAACGGGCATTCAAATTCCAATATTGGTTTACTCAAACAAGCTAGAATCTTGTCGACTATTTGAAGGATAATATCCCACTGAAACAAATAAACAAAATTAAAGAATTTGATCTAGTTCTGCTAATAAAAGTTACCTTTTAAGATGCAACCTTAACTATTAATAATACCATATCTTCAATAGCTATTTTATTAAGCTAAATGTTGGAATGCGAGAACAGCATTACCAAGAAACTAGAAATTTCTTTAATTCAATCAATAAGATCGTCTAGATGTTCACATATATGTTATATCAAGAATAAAGAATTCAATTTTTATTTTTTTTTAACCTAAATGATCAATTCTTATATCAATTCCTGAAGCAGGATAGACTCATTGAGGGAGTGAGCTCCCGTACTCGAATTGTGAACTTCCAGTCTTTTGGATCCCAAGCTTTCAACTTTTTAATGCCAAGAACTTGATATTTCAAACATCCAAATTTTCTATGGTATTCTCCAAAGTCAAGACTACGCTGAGGGATGGGCAGCTTATTTTAATCAAATCAAGAAACTAATTATTGAATTGGACAACTGAATAAGATAAGAAAATTATTATTTTCTCTCTTTTCTCTCTTCAAATTTGAACACCATGAAATTATGTATTATAATTGCTATTCAATCCTTGTACAATAATGATTTCACATTCAAATATTAATTTTAATTAAAATCCAAATAGGAGTTTTAATTAAAGTTCACATCAAATTAGTTTATACTTAATTGTATGTGTAGTTCTATAACTTTAATTACAATTATAATTAAGTTATAATTTTTAAAAAAATTATAACTAAATACAAAATTTTATTGTAATTACAATTAAGTCCAAAACTATTATAATTACCGTAATTAAATTACAATACTTTATAGAGCTATCACAGGACCTGATCGGACATAAATTATCTAAACTCCAATAATTAGATTCTGTCAAGTCGACTCTACACCACCCAATCTAATTACTAGTTTTTGTTTTTTTTTACTAAATGCAAAAGAATGAACTCTTGGAATATATAAGATCAAAGAAGTTAATAAATCTGTAATATTTTTCCCCTGACCTGCAGTATATGTATTTTATTCTCATCTGAGATTCGATAATTAGGTATAAACATAAATGTTCATTTTGTCCTTCTAATTATTCTCTCTAACTTAAGTATCATATTCTTCAATGATCATGTGAACTAATACAGATGTCGAGTTTAACTGTCGCTAATCATTAAGCTCAAATTTTAATCGTTCAATAGAAATTATTAAAGTAGACACTCTACCCTTTTTTGGGTGACAGAAATTATTTAAGTAGAAACTCTACCCGTTCAAATGGTTTCTGTCAAAAATCAAAAATTATAAAAATCATATGAAATTCGTGTCCGGCAACAGTTCAAAAAAGATTTGAATTAAAAAAAATGGTTTCTATACATAATTATAAAATTCATGACATCAAACTTTAATGAATAAATGAGATGACCCACTTTTTATTTAATTCTGTGGGGTAGTATCTAATCTAGTTTATCTACCACGCCAAAAAAATGTATAGTTTTCAAAGAAGTGGGATTGTTTCTAATATGCAAAAACTGCCTAAGCTTCTTGGTGAATCTTATTCTTTCAAGTCATGTCGAAATGATTGATTCCACATGTTTGGTATATGATATATTAAAAACTGGATAAAATTTTAATTTTAATATTATCTGTACGCATAAAAAAAATGGCACAAATCCTAATCTTTCTCCTCCTTATCCAATTTGTATTCTTCAAGCTTTTATAAGGAATATTATCAGATTATTTTTTCTCATCATGCACGAAATGTGCTGGTTTATACTGCAAATACCATTTTAGTTAAAGGATGGTGCATCCACTAAAATAAAATAAAAAATCTGTGGATATTATTCTATGTAGTCAGAATCTTACAGAGGAAAATACTTTAGACAAATGCTCGAAATGCTTGTGTGTGTATACACATTCACTCAGTGTCTCTTTTTCTCAAATATTCATTGTTTAAGAGAGACGTATACGGTGAAAATACATGCAATAATTGGAGAAAAATGCCCCAAAATACAATAAAAACTAAAGTCAACTAGATTATAAGTTTTCCTTCGTGTGTGTCTACAAGACTATCTCGTCTAAAAGTTTAACATATCAAATAGAGGATAACATTGTTTACTTAAATTATGTTTTCAGCACACCCCTTGCTGGTGATGCATGACAATGAAAAGAAAAACATTTTGGCTATCCACACGCAATCGATCATTGGATCAACACTCATGGCCACCACGTCGGCCGTCATAAGTAGTACTTACAGTATCAAGAAGCCACTCAATGATGCCGTCATGGAGAATTCAATGTGGCGCTAAAATACATCATTCTCCTCCTCATTTTCCTCTTTTCATTCCTACATCACTCCTTATCGGTTCATCGGCCAGGTGAATTTCCTCACAAACTGCCCTCAGGAGGAGACAAAAAGTTAAATTTATAACTCAATGAAGAAGAAAAATGTTCAGAAAAATATGAAACAAAAATAAGGATAAACATGAGACTTTTAATATGAAAAATAGACACCAATTGCATTACATCCAGTGACCTTAAATAGGTCATACATGATACAAGACACCCACTATTAAAAAAAAAAATTATAAATCTAGGAAACTAAATGGTAGTGCATTTCATGCACCAAATGCACACCTAATAACACCAATTTACTTGTGAACTAATTAATTAAGCAAACCACTAATGTATTAATTAATATTTAATTCCACTAATTAACTTTTTAGTCACTATTGCAACCTAAATGTAAAACTAGGACTCCACTAATACAAAAAAATAACAACTAATAAATTAATGAATAAAATACAAAAATCCCACTAACTAAGCATCCGTCAACATTCTCTCCCTAAAACTGAAAATCTAGAAACATTCAGTTTAGAAGTCTTATTGCATGTAAACACCAAGTAATTTCTGAAATGTAGTCAATTTCAAGGGCTTAGTGCATATGTCAGCAACTTGATCTTCACTTGTACAATAAATAAAATCAAGTATTCCTTCCTTTCAGGGACGGAGCCAGAAAATTTCTTCAGTACGAGCATAATTTAACTCATGTCGAACATTGAGTTTTGGTCAAATTTAATGATAATAAAACTATAAAACAAATCGTGATAAAACTAAAAATGATATAGTTTATAATTAAACATGCTCCTTATAAGTTTTCATACTGTGATATTGTTGTACAATAACGTTATTATCAAATAATTGAAAACAAAAACAAGTAACTGAAAGCAAAAGCAAGTGAACTCCAAATCAATCTATGCCTAAAATCAAGCAGAATACTCTCAACCTTAGCACAACTTTCAATTTAAATTCACAAATCACAACTGCAGAATGCAATTGACAAAACTAATAACTAATACATGATTTTAAATTAGCAACTTGTGTCTAACCTTAGTAAAACATCCAATTAAGTTCACCTCAGATTGGTTTGGATTTGCGGAAGAGCTAGGCTAGGCTGCTAGTAGGTAGTGGTGAAATTGAATCGTGGACAATTGCTAATATTAAATAAAAAAGACAAAAAAATAAAAATATTGGGTTGGGCCTAACATAGTGAGGCCCCGCCCCTGCTTCCTTCTTAAGATCCTTTAAAAATTGATACTTCACATCAATGTGCTTGTTTCATTCATGTAAAACGAGATTTTTTTGAGAGTTCAATAGCTGAACTACTGTCACATAAAAATAAGTACGTCTTAATTGTTTGAAATGAAGCACTTCAAGGATCGATAACTCTTTCGTCGTCAATCCAAGATGTGTCGGGGCTTCTCGAGAAAGGATTTTGCTCTCAAGACGGTAATTTATTGTTCTATGAAGCACTCC